GGCTCTGGCTGCGGAAGCGGTTCACCCTTCGGTTTTTCACGGATCTCCGGGAAAGCTCGACAAGCCGGAGTTAAATCGGTTGGTCGCCAGCCAACGCCGACCCAACTCGTGCCATTTACTACCATAACGCCCTCGAGTTCTTTGCTCTCCTTGAGTATACGCCAGTAGAATGTGAAATTGTCTGAGAACTTCTTCATCGTGTACGCGTCGAGGTCCACGTCGAGCGTCTTGATCGGTGATTCTGAAACAAATGACAGAATCGACGATTATTCGAGAAACTTCCGCAACTTTAGACGTTCACTGTCAATCGACGTTCATTTTCTTACGAGAAAATCAGTAGGCCCGTGTAACTTTAACACTAAAACTACCGAGCACTTCAATTGACTTTTGAAAATTTTTATAGAAACTCCAAGAGCGCATCTGTTCAGACTTCAATTGATTTACAATTCAATTTGCGTAGTGCTGAATGAATTTCTTTAATAATTTCTCAGAGAAACATTTGTTACCTTAATAATTGCGAAAAGAAGACATCAGTCAAGACGTCATTGTAACTTGAAAGTTACAAAATATATTCGTTCGATGAAATTACTGAAACTATTGAATACATTGGTAATTCGTATTCATATGTGGATATTCATTAATTTTCTACTGCATAGATTTTGTTGCAATCATGAACAAAAATTCGGCCCATAAAGGGTTAACACGTTAAGCGTCATGTCAGTCGCTAGAACTTCTAAATTGACAATTATGATTTCTCAGATAACTAATGTCGAATGGAAATATTTAACACTTCCACTGCCAAGTAGACACTCGTCAAAGCTCCCAGGTACTCGAAACAGTTTTCTTCCTTAACTAGAAACTAAAAGGTCAAGATTCTTCGTAATAATTGCTCTACTATCTTTCTCATATCTCATCCAACAAAATTCGGTTTGTTCGACACGTCAAGAAAATTAATGTCAAAGTGTGAAAAACAGTGTCACCCAAACGTGGGTGACGTGGCAGTCAAAGTGTTAAAAGGAATAATCAGGGCACATAAATCGGTAGAGTTTACAGTAGACAGCTATCTAAGAAAATCGGTTGGATGCAGTTCGCTGGCACGCTGCATCGAATCCTTGCTGGGTGAAACTTACTCTTCGCGCAACCAGGACCAAACCATCCAATGTTGCAGTAACAGTGCTTGGTGGGCGCGGTCGTGCCGCCATTGTCGATGCACGTGCCCTGAATACCGCAGTCCGAGTCGTCCAGGCATTCCTCCTTAAATTCGCACCTAGTTCCATGATACAGACGGTCGCATCTGCATCGGCCCAGAAGATATCGGCCGTGGCCGCTACAGTCCTCTCTATAGGTCTTCCTCTCGATAATCTGACGCGTGGAAACCATAGATTAATATACGGTACATCGCGTAATAATACACGAAACGTCTAGGAATATTTCACTAATCAGAAATGTAAATGAAACTTAACACGTTGAATGCCGCACGATTTCATGGCGAAAAATACACAAAATGGAAACAAATATTAAATCATTCGATTGAATTACATTATTATTATTAATGTATTATATTTATAATATAGAAATGTTTTCGAATAATCATCGTTTAACCCTCTATGGGCCGAATTTTGTTTCGTGATTATAACAAAATTTATGCAGTATAAAATTAATAAATATCAACATGTGAACACAAATTAAAAATGCACTCAATAGTTTTAATAATTATCGTTTAATTGAGCGAACTGAAGTCGATTTGATTGGGAGTCACCGGTGACCCCCATGGCATTCAACGTGTTAACAAAAAATGTCTCCAAGGAAAATCACGTTTGAAAGTATGCCAGAACATTATCAGTGAATCGTTGCAATTTGTATGTCCTTTTTATTAAGGATATTTATATTCAATGAGAATTTAAATGAGATTCGTCAGTGTTTAATTAGTGTGTTCGGTTCTGGTTTATACGATTTTGTTGCGGTATATTTACATCGATATCGGCGCAGGACCAGAATCTGTAACTCGAGCCCCATTCCTCGGCTTCTCTTAGAAGTCTGATGGTGCAGTCGGTGCAAGTGAAATTCTGGGGTAATTGTACAGCGTAACTCTGTGCCCTGGAAACCAGTGAATTACATTTTCGTCGGTGGCATCAGTTAAGAGGCTCATTATGAGATTTGTAATATCGTTGAACTCACGTGGCATCATCCTCCACGAACTCGCTGCTCTTTGTCACGGGAGTCAAATCGACCAGAGGCCTGTCGAGGGCGTCTAGGATTTGTAATCGAAATCCTCCCTAAAACCATGAGAAACGTAACGATCAGAATGGATTCGTAGTACTACCCCCTTGCCTGACGATTTATTCCTTCGCTGACGCTCTTGCTTACGCCATCTTGTCGCAACTCTAGATACAACGGTTATAATAGAACCTAAGTGTTCTGTTACGGTAGTTCTAGCGTTAATTGACGTATGTTTCCTCATTAGTTCGTTTAAAACAGTGTCGTCTGTATCTCGTCGAAAAATGTTAAATATTTCCAGTGAAAAACTTCGGAGCGCAACGGATTAAATTATGAATCTCCGATGTGCAATAAAGGAACCTCAGAGAAACGGATTCGACCGATTTCAAAATGGCGGTTACGCGTCACGCTGAGAGGTATAATGAACAATGGCTCAATTATAAATGGAACAGACGAGTGTAATGTGTCGCATGTACGAACCGCGCACAATCTCCGGTTAACAGGATTGAATTAATGCCGTTGTGTTTGGAAACGCAGCCGAGTTACGGGCGGGATCGTTTTAGTTCCAATGAGTGAACTTCCGCGCGTTTCGTTCGCTACGCTCGTGTCGGAAGCAAGAAACGGCCGAGAGGACGTTGAGACATCAATAGCGGCCGGATAGTAGTATCGAATAAGCTTATCAACGAAACCCGTGACATAGAAACTATGCTTAGGCCAATCAGTCGGCTGGACGAAAAACAATTTTCCGTTGAAGTTTTGGATTAACCCTTTATCATATTTATATATTTAGTATCATTATTTATAATATAGAAATGTTTTCAAATAACCATCATTTAACACTTTGACTGCCACGTCACCCGAGTTTGGGGACACTGTTTTTCACACTGACATTAATTTTCTTGACGTGTCGAACAAACCGAATTTTGTTTGATAGATGAGATACAAGAAAGATAGTGGAGCAATCATTAAGGATCTTGACCTTTCAATTTCTGGTTAACGAAGAAAACTGTTTCGATTGCATGGTAGTCAAAGTGTTAATTGAGTGAACTGTAATTCGATTTGGTCGGGTCACCGGTGACCCCACGGCGTTCAACGTGTCAAAAAAGGTATCAACGAATAATTAACTTACAACTGAACCACCGGTGAATCAGATACCCTATAGTTAGACAGATACCAGCGTAATCGATCTCGTCTTTTCGACGCCTTCGAACATAATGCCGACGAAAAAGAGAACCGTTATTATTGGTGCCGAGCTTGGGAACAATTTCACGTTCCTTTTACACGTCGCGTCCCGTGAACAGAACCGTACGATATTCCTCTTAGTGAAAGATAACCTGTAATTACTCTCAGGCTGTCAGCTTCCGTGAACGATCGTTGTGGACGTTGAAAAAAACCGTTATTGGAAAAATCAATTTCCGTTGGATTCTTCTTCTCTATCGTTAAAATCGCGCAGACGATAAAATCTTGATTTGTAAATATCTATTATCCACCGAGTCGTCCACGTTTCAACCCTTTGCATCAAAGAAATGAAAACCAGTCATTTTGACTGGCACGGTAGCTCTAGTGTTAACCCTTTGAACTCTGTAGGCTCCAATATTGCACCAGGAATGATATTAAATATTTTAATGAATCTTAAAAAAACTCTATGGGCCGAATTTTGTTTCGTGAATGTAACAAAATTGATGCAGTATGAAATTAATAAATATCAACATATGAACACGAATGAAAAATGTATTCAATAGTTTCAATAATTTTATTGAAACGAATATATTTTGTAACTTTGAAGTTACAATGACGTTGAACGTAAACGCCGGCGTGTACAAAAGTTTAATGTCGTTCGTCGTTTTGCAATAAAAAATTAAATACGTCAATTTAACCTAGTCTATTGACGTGCGACGTCAAAGTCACACGAGCCTATAGAGGGTTAACTGCGCATAATATTTCCTAAGACGCGAAACACATCAGAACGACGGCGTTACAAAATACGAACGCGTCCCGCGCATTTACAAGGCGGAATGGAATCCGTTCACTGGAGGAGATGCTTGTCACTTTTGATGAAAGTCCACCGGTCGTATAATCTCGCGAGAGAGTTCGAAATGTTTTCCAACGGCGCGCGACGATTGCGCCGCCGCTCGAAACGCGAAGGAGAAAGGGAAGAGGCGGTTTCGCGAAGTGGTACTGCTTCGCACGGCGTACACACCTGCATCGGTCTCAGTGTTATTGTCGAATTTTTCTCATGCCGGGAATATTTTCGTGTGCAGAATTCACGAGCCGCCTAGGCTACGACTACGCCACGGAAAACCAGTTACTGCCACGATGAAAAAGTCTACGCGCCTGTGCAAGGATACGCGGATCAGTGTACGCTTCATTATAGATTTCTGTAATCCTCATATTGTTTTGGAAGCTTGCGTGTTGCGGACGGAAATAACAGTAATTTAGCTGGCAATGTTTATTACGTTGCAACGGCGGCTGGGTACATAGATAAAATATGCTGAAGCTATTCTAAGTATCAAGAGGATTAGAGTATTTGTTTTTCAAAGTATACAAAGAGTATATTCTAAGTTCAAGTTTCAACATTTTGTTAATAACGTGGATTCACTGTGTACATAGATAGAATATCATATAACAATGCTAGGCATTAAGAGAATTGCAGTATTTATTTTCCAAAGTATCCAAAAATCATACTGCAAGCTCAAATTTGAACATTTTGTTCATAACATAGATTCTCTATATACATAAACTATGCTATAACAATCCTAAGCATTAAGAAAATTTTAGTATTTATTTTCCAAAGTATCCAAGGATCATATTGCAAGCTCAAATTTGAACATTTTATTAATAACATAGATTCTCTATATACATAAACTATGCTATAACAATCCTAAGCATTAAGAGAATTATTCATTTTCCAAAGTATCCAAGGATCACATTACAAGTCCAAGTATGAAACTTTTAATATCGTAGATTCCCTTGTCAAATTTCTTCCATTAAATACTTTCATCAAAAACACAATATTCAATCCTCTGAAAAATATAAAGTATATTTGTTATACATCAGGTTACAAATCATCAACAGAAACGCTACGGGAATACACAGATCTACCTATTGTTTTGATGACTAACGTTGAAATTCATACACAGTCGTCTCGTTCACTTCTCTATGACGCAATCCTTGGCGAATTCCGTAGAACAATTTCAATCCTTCCTTCACGGCTGGATGACTTTTCCAAGCAACGGGCCCGAGAGAGCTTTGGCTTTGATTCGAGTCATTGGCGACTGCCGAGTTACGGTACCCGACATACCGATGTATACCGCGGCGAGTTCAGTCTCTCCGATCCGTTTATACGCATCCACATGCAAAGCGACTTATCCCTTGCCACCTTTTCTTTCCGACCTACCGATCTGCGTAAGGTACGGGACGCCGAGCGTAGCCGCAGAACGCATGCCGAGCTTCGTTTCTGAATTATTCAACGCGCGTCACCTTGAGCGACGTCCAGCAAACGTAGGCCGAGGCTCAGCCTCTACCTTTTCTTTCCCTTTCGTAGACCACGCGCGGGACAAATTCGTGATGTCTTTCACGATGACTCGCCGAGGTGCGTCGCGGAGAATATGAATTTCTGGCTTCCACCGTGTCCCCCTTGTCTGCCGTGTTTTAGGTTAGGGATGCTCGGAACTTCCAGGAAATTTATACGACGCTTCGTTCACGCTAGATTCACGGGAATTTATTGTACGATTTATCCTGCTCCTAGGAAAATTCTTCGTCGATTCGAATTTTTGAAGGTTCAGATTTCATTTCCACTCTTTCCCATTTGACGGCTGAATTTTCGAAATTGACAAAGATATTGAAATCGATGAGTAAATTAATTCTCAACTATATAGCAATGTTTTCTAATTACCAGACCACTTGACGAGTCATATATTTCATGCTACACACCGTCTAATGAGCCATTAATTGTGTGCCACCGGTAGTACACGCCGGCGTGAACGTGTTAACCCTTTGCGATCGGTGACATTTCACGTTTAAGAAATCGGCGTCGCCAATATGGCATGTTCTTACAAAAATTAACGTGTACCACATCTACACGTGGCACTGAACGTGTTTATTTTCTTGTAGTTGCAGTTTTAAATTTCTGTAATGAAGCTTTTCTAGTGTGAAGTTGTACGAATAATTTTCTTTTACATTAATTTCACAAATTATAATTTACACTGTATATAAATAATAGTGCGTTACAGTCGTAAATGATCTGTCTCTAAACAGACGTCACGATAGTCGATTCCTATTCACGATTATAATTCTCCTAACCAGTAAAACACTGTCTTAAACGTTTTTATCAGTTCGATTTCACGTATACCGTAACAATGAAACAGGAAATGAAATGAGTTAATCAAAGAAAGTTTCACGTGCAACAGAACCAGCCCGAGAGGTTAAGATTTCCGCGCAATCGGGTTGACAGGCACAGTCTTCTCTACGAGAGAAAGTCCACGAAACGAAATAATAAAACGCGGCACGGTTTTATCCGACTCTCGCGTAACCGTACGATTCGTTTCTTTTTTTTTCTCTTTTTTTCTTTTTCCTCTCCGGTATCAGCTCCGTAAGACTTTCCTAGGCATTTTTCCGCGTGGCTACGCATGCAAACATTAACGGCTGTTTCAGTGCCGTGCGAGGCACGTGTTCGCACACAGGAATTACCGACCGGTCTCCCGCCAGAACGGTTTCGCAGCTTTCTTTTTTTACCAGTGGCTAACGAAATTCGCCAACAGGGGGATTCAATTATCTCCGGTGAGTAAAAGTGGCGTCCGAACTCCATAAAGTGAAGAAGGAGAATTAACGAGATACGGAACAGTGCTAATTCGTTCCGTCACTTGGTTAACGCTGGATTCACGGAGGTTTATTCTATACTTTATTCTATTGTTCCTAGAGAACTATGTGCTCGTCTGTATAAATCGCGAAAATTGTAGCTTTAACCACTTGCGCTGGAAAGACGTGCCACGTCGAGACGTTTCTATCCGAAAATTCTCAGTGATGTCTTTCATACATTGATAATCTTGTTGCATTATGTTAGATTACTTCGAAATGTATCACTCTATACAGAATGATTAACAAACAGAATAAGTGTACATAGCGTGAAATAGGTAAAAACAAAATTCATCGGAAACTTTGCCAAATTTCTGAATTCATTCCAAGTTTTAAAAAATTCGATATCCGTGAAATTGACGGGTTCCGTAAATGTAGTGTTAAATAACCTATTGTATAAAGGAAACAACAGACGCGTCTACTTACTCGGTGTGGATATGCCAAATGCCACGTGACGTTGAAATTACTCCCGGACAGAAAAGTGGTCTTGACATCGCCTGGAACATGGAAACGTTACAAGTTCAGTTCGATGGTATGTTCGTGCTTTAACCCTTAGCATCCTAGACTGTTTTGTAATCTATCAGCAATTGCAACTAATTTTTATAGTATTCCTAGCGAAAATGAAAAATGCTGTAACATTTCTTCCATCTTTTATTTTTCTTAGTACAAAATTTGGATGTGTGGAAAATGGAATAATTTGAGTGTAGTTTCTTTAAGATTATTAAAATATGTAATATTACAACTGGTGCAATATTGGAGCCTACAGAGTTCAAAAGGTTAATATTGAATTTTAAAATATTACCATTTTATTGGGTCAAAGGAAACGGTGACTAACAGTTGCACCTCCCGAGTGCAACGGGTTAATTATTCGTTGTTTTTACGCTGTTTCCGTGACGTAATAAATTCGCTGTCATTTTATTACTATGTGTCAAGCGACTCCGTTCCGCGCGAATGTTTATGACGCAACGTATTTATGAGTGGAACGGCTTCGAGAAACAGAAATTCGTCATTTCTCAGGCTCATCGATCGGACAATGAGATGTTAATATTCATTACGATAATGGGATACGATAAGTCCAAAACAATCGCCGGAAACACGCTCAAACGCAAGTTCATCGTAATCTCGCCCGCTAGACGCATAGCTGTACGTATTACCTTAAAAACCCATGAATTATATAACAGAAGATCGATCCTCATAACCTTTGTTATTTTTCAGAAAAAATTCTCTACGGAAATTCCCGTTATATTCTATTTATGAACTGTATTAATTGTTTCAACACCACAACTACCGATCACTGAAACTGAATTTTACAAGTTTCTTTATAAAAACCATAAGTTCACTGAGATTTCAATTGAGTTGTATTTCACTTTTGCTACTGAATTCGTAGAAGTATCTGTACCTTTTCAGCAATTGAATATAAGTTAATATTTCATTAACACTAGAACTACCAGGTGGGTCAAGATGACTTAATTACTAAAAAGTAATTGTCAAAGAAGTCAGAAATAAGCTTTTAATAACTTATATATATTTTGATATTGTTCCTTTATGTTCTCACTGCTTTGTAACACATACCATCAGTGACCATGTGTCCCTTAAAAATATTTTCTTACAGAAATTACTACCAAATTAATACTATATATGGTACACTTATTCCTTTCTAGTGAAACTAAGAAGTAACAATTATCAGCTATTTGGTACGCAATTATTACGTTACACTATGGTTAACTTATTCACGCTATTGAACACTTTCATTCAACCCCAATTACCCTATGAATTATTATTGTTTTCAGGTAATTTGGAAACTCCTGTTATCGGTGACCACCGCGATCAACGTGTTAAATAGATTCTAGAATGGAACTAAGTTTTAACCCTTTGTCCGAAGTATTCTTGGTTTCTCACTTTGAGGTTCACGTCGACGTTAGTTCATTCAATTGTAGCTTAATATGACGGTCTATTTATTTATTCAAGAATATTTGGGAGTCATTGAGATGTTACTTTTAAACGGTATAATTCTGACACTACAAATAAATATAGAAAAAATTGTTAAAACAGGTAGAGGTTGCAGTAAAATAGAATGTCGAGTCTGACTCGACATAGGACTGCTAAGGGTTAAACGAACTGAATTTATTTCACCTATTATAATACGGGGCACGATACACAGACTTTCTAGCAATGAATTCACTGGGAACAAATCGAGCCTGGAAATTCATTTTTCTGTTGCGCAGGAATCAGTTGCGCGGAAAGGAAGCGATGTAAATCACCGCGAATGAAAATGTATCGCGTCTGGTATGCATCGCGAATTACATCAGCCGTTGCGAAAAGAAATTCCGACGGAACCGAAAAGGTGGGAGGTCGTTAACATCCTCGATTCACCGCGTGATTCCTGATAAAGATCTACAGAACTCTATCTCCTATCGGACGGATCACCGGAAACGATCGAGAACGGCGCGGAGCACGAGCAAGTTCCGGAAGTGCGCAAAGACCACGTTCCACGATCGATTCAGCCTTTTAAGGTCTACCCGCCCTCTCCCCGCTTTCTGAAAAGAAAGCAATCGTTTCTTACAGGTTACAGACTTGCTCGATACATCATTCAGCGCGTTGAATGCCGCACGATTTCATGGCGGAAAATACATAAAACGGAAAAAAGTAAATATTGAATAATTCGATTGAAATGCATTACTGTAACTGCACGTCTATCTGGCTGAACGTCATCGCGTTAGATAGTACTATTTATAATATAGAAATGTTTTCGAATAATCATCGTTTAACCCTCTATGGGCCGAATTTTGTTTCGTGATTACAACAAAATTTATGGAGTATGAAATTAATAAATATGAATATATGAACACAAATTAAAAATGCATTTAATGGTTTTAATAGTTTTATTAAAACGAATATATTTTGTAACTTTGAAGTTGCAATGACGTTTTTCTAATATTTTAGATTTATTGGATCGAAGGAAACATTATGTTAAGATATTAATCATTGCGGAACAAACAAATCGGAACCAGTCATTTTCACTGGTTCGGTAATTCAAGTGTTGAAGTAAAAATTTCAAAACAATTCCTTGTACAATCCTTTTACGCCTAAAACAATGAAACAACCAATTAAAGTATCCACGTAACTTGCAATTCTAAGTATTTAAGAAATCTATAAATCCGTTTGATCTCTTCGATTTCATTTAAATCCCTTTACACGAATATCATTGGAGCTGTTCTCAATTCGTCGCGAGTATAAATAAATTTGCAAAAAGAATTCGATACTAACGTTACACTTAATGCGATTTGATGTTCAATGCAAATACGCGAGATGGTAGAAAGTTGTTGAACAAGATAGGCAACGCATAGTTTAGCAAGTTAATTTGAATGAAGCTTGTGTAAGTGTCCTTGAAAAATCCGTCGTTTGAGTTCGTATAGTAGAACATTCTTTTTACTCGATATGTCATTGAAAGTAATGAATGTACACGACTTGCTTGAAGCACGTTAACAAGTATATCAGTGCGACAAAACGAAGAATGAGAAAGTGATTAACAAAAACAAGGGAACGAAGTTCTAGTCGTGTTCAGCTGGACGCCATATTGGTATCAACGGCGTCGAAGCGCAGAGCTGTTCTCAATTCGTCGCGAGTATAAATAAATTTGTAAAAGGAATTTGATGGTAACGTTACACTCAACGCGATTTGGCGTTCAATGCGGCGTTTTTAAAGTGATTTATTCGGGAATCGTCTGTCGCGGAACGAGCCGACTATTAAATTACGAGAGAATACGGCGCCATTGACGCGGTAACGTTCGATTTGGTGGACCGTAAAAAAATTAATATGTATGACGGCATTCACGGACACCGTTCGTTGAGAGCGTGCGTCCGTGCGTGCGTGCGTGGGTGGGTGTGCGTGAGTAAGTTGCTTGTCCCTATACGTACACCCGGTTTCGGGTGACACAGGTGGATGTGTCCGGGGGATCGCGCGTTCCTTTTTACGACGTACGGGGAATAAGTTTACGTTCTGCTATGTTCAGGGCTTAGTACTGGTTCCTGGGTGATATATGACGAGATTATGGGGAACGTGGAAATTAAGAAGAAGCGGTTAGTTAATAGGATACTACGTCTTTTAAACTGATGAGCCAGGCGAAGGAAGACGAAGAGGAGGCAAGGTATTCGATGACTTCACATAGAAAGCCGTTGAGCATGCTACTTTTTCAACGCGATCGGTGCAATTCATATTTTTTATATTCGAACAACTTTCCTTGAGATATTCTTATTTCCGAATCAATAATTATGCTTCTTTTATAGAACAGCAGAGGCGATTTACAACAGGCCAATCTTGAATATTCCATATATACGGCGACAACGTGAATAAAGAAGAGGTAATTGATCAGGTGCAAATAAATTTGGAGGAGCTATTCACTTGAAATGTAATTGAAAAATGTTCTACTACAAGTTGAAGTGTCTTTTGATCTTAATCATTACAACTATACCCATCGCTACACGTTCGTTTAAAAAACCTTTGCAACTTCTCTACACCCAAAACCAAATCAACAGTAAGTCTACCCACATCTACATACTACAACTGCTCTCAAACATTCAACACTAGGTTCACGGAACGCGTCAAATTGACGCATATTGATTTTAGAAATATTATTTTGCAAATGTTTACGCCGATTTTGATTGATGCGATCACACTGACACGTACCCCAATTACCTACTGTCAAATCTCCAGTTTCCACAATCTAAATAAACGAGCATCAATTCTTTCAGGAATAATAGAGAGAAGTGTACAATGCCCGTAAACCAAAGTGTCAAACAAACTGCACAAAAGAAATCTTTTCCTTAGAAACCCAACGGGCGGACGCGTGCATCCAAAGTTCACGTATTCCCAACGAGCGTACATAGGCATCTAGAAAAAGTGTACGCCGCGCGTATATGCGCGCAGAGCGGAGGCAAGAGACGTGGAAGGTAATGGCCGGGTACCGAGGTTCGAGTTCCCTTCGCGCGAGCTGGTGAAAGTCGCTTCGAATCAGATTAGCGGGCTATCCCCACCGGGACGTGTCTTCGTGTTAATGTCGTTTTCCCATAGAAGTCCCTCTCACCCCTTCCCGCGACCGTCGTAACCTACCCCTGCCCCTTTTCCCTTTTGCCACCCCGTCACCCCCTCCCCCTGAAGGAGTCGACCGCGAAAATTCCATCGGCAGTTTCCGGTTCGCGTTCCAAGGATCGTGTGACGATCAACATCCGGGGATACGCGTATCTGCTCCGCCGGTAACACTATCGAATGGGATTCACCCGTTGTTTTTCTACGCGTCTCTCCACGGCGCGACGGTCTCGAGTTTCACCGACTCCGCTCTTCCTGCACGGTACAGATGTTTCTCTCGTGCGTGCTCGTAGGGAACAGGTTCGACGTAGGAAGAGAAAATTTCGATGGGACACGGTTATCGAATGATTCCTGCCCCGTTCCCGGCTTGTAGCAGGCCGGGAATTAATTTGGTATTGGCACGCCAGTGGTTCTTCGTGGGTTTCCCTCTGATTCTGTGGAACGTATAATTTAACCCTTTGAGGACGAAGATTCTTTGAAATACCAAACCTCGACAGATGAAGCTGAATTATATATCAATTGTATAATCGATAGAACAAAAGCGTGCTGTTCTCTTGCTATTCGAGTAATTAACCCTTTGCGGGCGAAGATACTTTGAAATATACAAAGTCTTCGAGAAATGAAGTTAAATATCAATTACTTAATTAAGAAAGGAAACTACGAGCTGATCTTTTGCTGTCAGAGTAATTATATCATTTCTCTAGTCTTCCAAATATGAACACTTCGTCTCTCCGAAGTGTCGACATTCGTCCGCAAAGGGTTAACCCTTTGCACTCGAAAGTTTTTCACTTGAAATATTCTATACCTTCCAATTTGATATAGACAAGATTCTTTAAAATGAGTTTAACAATAAATCATACATAAATTAGGTAACAAAACTACTTCCTTGTAACAGCTCGCATACTGATGCAGTATACAAAGGTTAATAGTAAATCCCAAAATTTACAATTTCGCTGGATTAAATCATCTGGCGACTGGGAGTCGCCTCTCGAGTGCAGTTAAATCATTTTTTTCTTAGTCTTCGAAATATAAGAATTTCATCTCGTCGAAATGTCGACGTTCGTCCGCAAAAGATTAACATAGGGATATCTCGCGAATGATTATGTTTATACAGTAAACATAAGGCATGCATTCTCGTGTAGTTCATTTTGTCGAGCCACAAGGTGAAATTCAATCTTCGAGTTAAATTAGTTTCCTAAATCCTCAACACAACCACCGGTCACTGAAACTGACTTTCACAAACTTCTGTATAAAAACCATAAGTGTTCATTGAGATTTCAATCGCATTTCAGTCTTGCCACTGAATCAGTTCTGTTAATAACTTTTCGCGGAATCTGAACCTTTTCAGTCATCGTAAAGGAGGAAATCGGAAATAAGTCATTCTGATTCATCCGGCGGTTCTAGCGTTAATAGAGACGGAAAACCAAGGTTGGGGATCACTGGTGTACGAACAGCAATGCCTGTCGAAGTATTCAGAGGTATGAATCACAACCCGGAATTATTGGGATGAAAGATACCGTAAACGCTGGTGATTGATAATGACAACTACCAATGCTGTTCGTCACTGTTTCACGTTAGAGTGAGATATAACCAGATAGGGGATTAAATTTTTTTTCGCCGACGACACGACGCGCGATCCGAGCAGTCCATTATTATCATACTCCTCACTGTATACCCTATTACAGCGTAATGAATTGTTCCATTGATGTATGTGGACCGCTAACAGATTATTACCATAGTAGTTTATAAGGTAACAACGGTTCAGTGTCGCAGACATGATATTGTTTCGCGAACCAGTGTTTTATTAACGGACTCACTGTCTCTGTGTCGTGCGTATAATAAACTATAATTCAGCCTTGCCGTAGCCTACTTCAAGGAGGCCAAGGTTCGCGCCGGACAGTAATGTCCGAGAAAAATAACATTGTGGCATACAGCCTTTTTTTTTTCTATCGCTAATTCAATAACAGCGCGTGAAACAATATGGAACGATTGAGTAACTGACGGAGTTTTTCGAGTTTCTTTCTTGTATCCTAAATACAATAGCTTACGGTGTGAATTGTAGAACTCCTTAAAGCGTCTCCAAAGACACCGAAGGTTAAGAGAAACTGCAAAACGAGGCAAGGATGTCTTTTGACATTAGATCATTAACCCTTTGCAC